GAGGAGATGTAGGGTGCTTCCACAGGCAGACACACATACTCTTGTCCTGGCTTGTCTCATGCACATATACCTCTGGGTTGCATTTTAAGTAAACACAATTAGGGACCCTGGGAGGTGAAGAAAGTGAATCCTATCCTTAAGGAATTTAAAACTTCCAGTCTTAGGGAAATTGCCTGGAGAGTTGGGTACAGGCTACACACAATGCAGATTACAAATTCTATGGCAGGCATATTAAGACATCCTTTTAAAGGAATGTGCTTCTACTCCAGTGGGATGCACCAAACAATTATTTGGTGTACAAGGAAAAAATACTAAGACCTTTATTTTTTATCTTTCAAAAAAAAGAGAAATTATTTCATGTTTACATAATGATCAACAGCAGCATATAAATTAGAAAAGTGGAAGTAGCTAACTATTCATTTTATGTGTTACTTAATATGTAATGATGGTTTATGATCAATAAAAGGTGTAAAAACTGATGATACACCATCGAGAGAAGTTAACCTGTTCATCACAGTTCCAGGCTGAATCCTAATGATAGTTTTGCCTGTTTCCTTGAGTATTCCCAAATTGTATTTCCTGACAGTCTTGAAGTGGATCAAAGCAGATGTCCCCTGTCATCTGCTTTAAGCATTTGCCCTCTCCTGGGGCAAATGTTTGTCCAAACTGTAAGGGGATCTTATTTCCTTGCTTATCCAAATCACAACCTTCAACAGATACCCATGATCCCAGGTGCAAACACTGAGCAAGTTCACAAATCATCTCTGACTAGCGTTGCTTCCCAGATGCTGGGAGCACCTGGCCCATACTGTCATCTAGATAGAGAACGATGTAGCAGACTGAGCTCTTGGCTGCACCTGTGATCATTCTGACCCAGATGGTCTCTTCTTTCACTCACAAGTCTTCTTACCAAGACCAAGTAATGGTGTTGGCTGGAGACACCCCCTGCCACCACCATGAGAGTTTCAGAAATGGGAGGAAGGCACCCGTGTGGCCCAGGCCTGGATTCTACCTCCTTTGAATTTTCTGTCTTCCAGAGAATCTCCTGAGCATGCCAAGCCCACTAAAGTACATGAGATATGACTGTCAACCCAGCCTCCTCAGCTCTGGGCCCCTTAGTTGATACTCACTCTTGGAAAATGGACACAATTAGATGCCAAATCCAGGAACTAGACACTGCCCTGTCATTTGCTCTCCCCTAGCTATCAACCTGGGACTTGCTTGAGTTATCAGTCTCTGGGTTTCTACCCAAAACCCTCACATATTCTTGTCAGGAGAGTCATACCATCTCCCACAGAAGCTATCATTTTCCTAAATCCAGTTCCTAACTCTGAACTTATTTTTCTCTTATACTCTGTGGTATTCTCCCTTGGCATTAACCATCATTAAAATACAGCTAACACACAGGATTTAGTATATGCTACAAGTTGATCTAAGCATATAAAGATTAAGTAACTTGCTCAAAGTCACACAGCCAAGTTCAAAAAAGAAAACAGAAAAATGAACTTGAGCTTTCTACACCTAAGTTCCATATGCATAAATCACTATGTGGCATTATTTCTCATATTATATTTGCCTCTTCCCTTTCCCAGTTATTTAAAAAGGCAAAACACTGTTCTGAATTGTCCCTACGTAATTTCCCTTTATCTACTCTCATTTGAGGGGATATCTATTTTTCTCAACTATTCTACTATTCCAAGTATTTCATGATCATAGGATTTATTTAAATTATCAGAATACCTAAGCATCATCAAAATGTACTTTATGAAGTTGTTTTAAATAACCAACAAAAATTGCCTTGCATACTATAAACTGACTTAATAGCTCTTTTCTTGTATTTTAAGGGTATGAAAAAGCTCAATGCATAAAAAGAAGGTCAATATTAATCCTTAAAATCATGTCATTCTTCTTGGAAGAGGTTGTCTTCTGCAACATTTAATAGATTGAAATAAAGTTGTCAAATATTCAGTGGTCCAGAAAATGGATTCATAACACCAAGGCCAACCCAAAGCCCGTTGACTGTACACATTAGGACCATTTCTTCATCACCTTTGCTAGTTACTTCCAGTATAGTTAAAGCTCCTTTTTTTAAAAAATTGAATTCCTAACATAATCAGAAGCACAGTGCCAGGATTCTAAAGCTGCTTCAGGATGCAATTAGAGCAAGCCAAAGTCAGGACACATTAGGAATTATCAATAGATGTGTGTGAGCCCCTGAAAATAAGCAATTACCATCATCATATGTCACATTCCTCATCTCTTTTGCATTGGGGCTACAGAAAAAGGAAATGAAGGAGCATGTTAATGGCCTCAGCTGCCATTTGCGTTTATACCTAAATTTACTTGTTGTAAGCTGATGTATATTCATGTCTGCAAATCACACCAGAAAGAAAACGAATGATGTCAACGTCTGCTCACATTAAACAGTAGGAAATTTTGTAAGGGGTTTCAGACTTTGCACTCAGTTTTTTCTTTATGAAATCTATGTACAATGAATTTTTTTTACTTCCACTTATTGTGCTTATGATCCTGCTTACTTGTCAGAGAACAAGGAAGTCATTGGGGTGGATACTTTTTCTACTCAGATCAAAATACAAGTTTGGGGGTTTTTAATTCCTTCATCAAATAATTTAAATATATTTTAAAATGCAAACTCGCAGCTGGTGATATTTTTGTTCGTCGGAAGCCCACCCTCTTCCTTCTTCAGTTTCGTACTGTTCCTTCATGTTCTATGCCATCAGTGCCATATCAGTGCTGGCTCATAATTATTTGTCTCCCATTTAGTGACAAGGTGTAAATTTGCTGACTGAAGAGGCATGCTCTGACAGTTATTCTCAATGTATGTGCAAAGGCTGGGTTTGTCACACCGGAAAAAGTCCCTGGAGAATTATTTTGTAGAGTGTGGAGTCATTTGCTGAGCTGTCTGATATGGATAGGAAAAATATGAAAGGACCTGCCAGGGAGAAACAGCAGCAGGCAGGTCCCTTCTGAGCAAAAGAGGAAATCAAAGGACAGTTTCAGGTCCATTCCAGTTTCGAAGCATGTTCTTGAGAATGAATCATCTGAGGTATTTTCTTATTTGTGTTTTTATAGAAATCACAGAGCTAGAGCTCCACGTAAGAGGGTTAAGGCAAATTTAGTGATGTCCTTGGGCTGTGCTTAGAAATTACCACCAACACAAAACTCTTTCTGTGCTTGTCTGAGGCAAACAAGTTCTTCAAGGGTCTGTGAAAATGTTTGAAACCAGAAGGGAGAAATAAATATCGTGGTAGTGACTCCAAACTCCAAAAACATATCTCCCATAAAAAGATCAAGATTATAAGATGTCTACTGCACTATCCAAACCTTTAATATCAACCTGATTAAGTGTAAGAATAATTTTTAAAAAGCAAATTATGGATTTTATTTTGTTACATCTAAAGATTTTGAGCATGCTAAACAAAAATGAGATGTACATAGTTGGTATTTAAATTTCTAAGATATAAGCATTGTAAATTATAAGTATCTCTTTCAGTTTTTACCCAAAAAAGTCTATTTTCTGTGATATGTGGAAGCGTCTTAACATTTTTTGCATGACATGTGAGACAGGACCTAAAAAGGAGAGTCTAGAATCTGCATTTTTTTAACATATTGGTTACTCAATACCATGTCAAAATACTCCATAATGTTGTAAATTGTTGATGTTATGTTGAGGCTTTTAATTGGAGGAGATGATATTCTGCCTTCAGAGATGGTCTCTCCAAGAAACTGTTGAATTTATCTGGACTATGCTTAGTATATGCTTGCAATGAAAGAATCTTGACTGGATTTGAACTGTAATACTGCAACAAGGTGGGGGAATCCACCATGGGGTGAGGGTATGGAGAGGGACTGGGGGAATCCCAGAGCCTATGAAACAGTGTCACAATATGAAATGTAATTAATTTAAAAAAAAAAAAAGAGCTCTGCCCTTGAACCATCTTCTTCAGGTGTGTGACTATCCTAAAGTTGCGTATCAGCTAGGAATCTAATGGAGAATATCAAAAGGCAAGATAGGAGAAAGATGAAGGTGCCTTGCTGCTGTATGCATCTGTACGTGAAGCAATGTGACAAAGGCAGTGTTCTATACACAAGGGAATTCTAAAGGTACCTGTACATCTTTGGCAGGATCGCAGAGGAATATCCCACCTCTGTAACAGAAACAGAGTTCATTCTGAGTTGAGGAAGCAAAGCCATCCAGTTACATTTTGATGGAATTCCAACTGCCTCCTTCTCTGAGTTGTATTTTCTCCCAACAGATGACCAGACCCGTATACATGCATGTGTTCCAATCAACCTTGCCCAACTGGGGAGAGGGTTTCCATTTTTAGAATGCAAAATTTAAAGTGGTGCGGGCAGGAGAAAAAGTGGATTGTCTTATTGCCATGTGTAATGATTCTGGTCTTTAATTCAGTAACCTGTTTTAGGTTTTATTTGATTCACAAATACCCAGGGTAATGAATGCTGACGCCCTCCAAAGCATATGGGAAATGACACTTTCTTGTAATGCTACCACCACCATCACTACTAATAACACTAATTACATAGACCTAAATACTATTATCTTCTCATATTACATAATAAAATACATAAAATTTTAAAAATGTTTTTTCACTTAACAATGAATCTTGGATATTTTCCATGTCAGTAGATGTTTATTTGTCTTGTTCACTTTAATTATCTCATGATATCAACGATATAGCTAGATCATAATTGATTTCATTTCCTTCTATTCCTGGGCATTTCAGCAGGCCATTCAACTTTGACCTTTCATGAAAATGAATCAATGGCTTCAATAAGCCATTGAATGCTGGTTAGAAATATGTACTCTGAGCATTTTGTTTTAGTATAACTCATCCTTGCAGGCAGCAAAAATCAAATCTTCAGATTCATGCATGATAGTAAACGAAAATCTTAACTGTAATTTGTCAGTTATTTATTTCCTTGTCTTTTGTGTTTTTTTGCCTTTTCTTCTTATGCAGTCATCTACAGCCAGGGACAAGGATGAACCAACTCTACCGGTAGGAAGCAATGGCCCTGTCTGCACCTGTTCATGTGCCTATGGAGAGTGTGGAGTCAGGGTTGGGAGGAAGAGGGGCATGTGTGCTCGATAAATCATCCTCCCTTGGAATATTTAAGTGATTTAATCCACTTATGTGTTTGTATGCTGTATCCTATAATTAGTGACAATGAACACTGACATGTGGTGAAAAAATATTTCTGGCTCTGGATTTCTAAAGTTTGAATTCTGTTTTTCACTTGGTGAACTGTGACAGGCCTTAAAAGGGTGAAATATTCCTAAGTTATATTCCAAGGGATTTTTGCTGATGTATGAGGATAGTATTGGATCTAATACTTGATATCTGTTTTCTTTGTGTCTATGCATGCATATATTTTTATGAGAAATTTCTTTTGGCCCCATCAAAAGAAATTCTGCATGATATCAATATTGCTAATATAAATATAATGCTTCCGTAGGTATAATTTTATTCTAATGAATATGTCCCCAACAGTGTTTTCCAGTTTCTCAGAATAAGGACCACAGTAACACTGGTTAGCACATTTTTCAGTTCCTGTCCAATTAACACAACACATTTCATACTGCACAGCATGACAAAGAAATGACCTTAAGAGTTTTGCATTCAGCCAACAAATGGTGATTGCATTTCAACTTTAAACAAATCCCCTAACCTTGCCTCTAAAATATTTTGAACCATAAACATTTGAACCCTCTATAATTAAATAATAAAATACATTTTCAAATGTAGCAGACATCTAAAGCTGAGCTGATGATATAAATTACCTCACCCTCCCTTCTGTAATGCTCACAGCAAAGATACAACATTAATCGAGAATCTGTAGGCTATGCCAGTCGCTGTACCGGGCTAAGAATACAAATACAGTCTTTCTTGGAGGAGTTCATGATCTTGTACACCATCAAAGCATGAGTTAATCCCCTCTTAATCCTTTCCAAACCCTGATACATGGGGAATACTATTTTTAATATATACTAGAATAAATCACTAATTATAAAAAAATTATACTAAGAAATTCTGGTTCATCTGTGTCTCCCATAGTGAGACATATTTCAAGTACACTATAGTTTTTATGTTTAGCACCAAATGTGTGGACCATGATTATTAAGTGTTTTACAAAATAAGAGACCAATGGGAAACTGATTGGAACCCTGTCCAGGAATTCTTTTTAGTGTTAGATTCAAGTCTTATGTGTATCTTGAAGCTCTAAAAATGAGGTCTAGGGTGTAATGTTTTCTAAAAGTATCTTACTGTGGCATCTCTTATGTACTTTTCTTAGGAAACCCCCTTATGTATCTGGAATATTTTGGAAAATCCTATGATATATGATTGGAAGACTTAACAAAAAAAAATTATGTTATATTATTTATATTTACCTTAAAATTTTTTCTAATCATTTTCTTCTTCCTGTATCTGGGGGAAGGGGAATGATAAAAGGAGAAACCGCAAGAAAAAGGAACTTTTGAAATAATGGTCTCACCCACTTTCCCCTAATCCTCAACCCTTCCCACCCTAATCAACTAGCTAAGCGTCATCAAAAATAAAACTTATATATAGAGACAGAAATGCTCCATTAAAGGAGAAAATGCTTCATGAAAATTCTAATCAAGCTTTTGGACTGAAAGCTCAATTAAAAAAATAATTTTCCTGTATTGCAATACCTTCCTCCCTCTTAAGCCTGTCTATCTATGAAGTTTGGTTGCTTCTGAACATCTTCTGCACAAAATTAATGAGGGGGAAAAATCAGTTTCTGTTCAGAGTTTTTTTTAAATCTGTCATAATACAGAGGGTTTAGTTTTTATTTTAAGATTGCTTTCAAAAATAAAAGAAAGTGTGCTGGTAACCTCATCTCTAGGAGCTCATTGTTCGTCTCTCACCTACAAAACATCACAGCTAGCAGGAGTTGTACGAAAGAGCTCCCCCCTCGACCTACACGCACGCAGGCGCACACACACATACACAAATTCAGGACGGTTCATGATAGCAGCTTCCATCTTTTCAAATGTCTGCTGACATAGACCATACTGCTTTCTGAATTAGAACCACAGTCCCCATGGTAGAGATAAGACACTCTCGAAGTACAAGATGAGCCTTTGGGGAACAAGGGGAAGACATTAGTACCTCTATCACTTGTTTTCTATATCACTTTTATATAACACTTAAATTGTATAAACAATTTATTATTTTTTTAAAATGTTCTTATATGCTCAATTTTTAATATGTCTATTTACATAGACATGGACATAGATAGGTATAGAAATAAGTATGAGAATACTGCAAAAAGTTTGTGCCTATGAAATTAAAACATTAAGTATGATGCAAAAACATGTTTAAATCATAGATAATTTTTTAAAGATTTATTTCATCTTCATTTGAAAGGCAGAGTTGTGGAAAGGAGAGAAGGAGAGAGAAAGAGATCTTTCACCTGCTGATTCACTCTCCAAATGACAACAACTCTCACAGCTAGGCACATCTGAAACCAGGCACTTGGTGTTTGTTCTGAGTCTCTCACATGGGTTCTGGGGCCCAAGGACTTGAGCTATCCTCTGCTGCTTTCCCAAGTCTCACACAGGGAGTTGGATCAAAAATGGCGCTTCTGGGACTCGAAGCAGCACCAATGTGGGATGTTGGCACCAAGAGGCATAAGTTAAGCCTGCTATGCCATGGTACCAGCCCTACATTTTTAAAAATTTTAAGCTTCTATGACCTTTTTAAAGATTCCATCATATACACAGATTTCAAAATTTTTATTAAAAATTATCTCAATTCTATATTCCCACAAATGTTTTGAAATTCTTTCATAAAAAGACACTGAAAATTTTGTCCAAAAGAATCAACAATCTAAAGATTTTAGGGATCACATAGCAGACCTGGGGTCTATTTTATCCTTAATATTTCTGTCCATGTGACTTGGAAACCAAATTTCACTTCTCTGAGATTTAAAGGGGATAATGACAGTGTGTGTTTCATGGGGTTCATCTTGAGATAAACAAATGGATGTGAAGCATAAAACATGTTGCCTAGCACTTACTAGTGTCTGCAACAATGGAAACAATTCATTTAGTAGGAAAGGATGTGAGAACGTCAAGCCCTCAGGGAAGGTTGCAATATATTTTAACATCTTCAATTCAATAATGTGCGGTCTTGTGACAAAAACAAATGAACACCAGACAAAGTAAGAATCTTATGACAATACACTTGCTTTTTTTTTCCTGAGAACTAACAGCATCTTTGGTTTCTCTGCTCAGGCTAAGCCACGACTGCAGCGAGGTGGAAGTTCTGCCTCCCTCCACAACAGTCTCATGAGGAATAGCATCTTCCAGCTGATGATACACACACTTGACCCACTCGCTGAAGGTAAACACACTGGGCTTTGATTTGGGCGTTTTGGGGAAACAGAGAATGTTAAGACACTTTTTACCATAATATATTTGTGTTGTTATCACACAAGCCTGCTAACATCCTCTTGTTTAGCATCTGCCAGAGGAAGCCTTGAACATGCTTTATCTACAACAGCTCAGTTCATAATTGGTGGTTTGTGTACCAGGTATAGCAATGTGAGGTCCGTATGTTGATTCTGTCTTTTTATGCCTCTGGAATAAATGCAGTTGTTGTTATAAGGAAGAGAGAATAAAAAGGTTTCCCTCCCTTTCAGCTACAGTAATAAGCTTCTTTACCATCCTTTCTAAGTTTCAAAACAAAGTCGTTTGTGAAGATAAATTATACAACTTAAAATGAGAGAGCAAGAAAAGAATTCCATGACTTGAGAAGGTGGTGAGTAGTTTGGATAATGATGCTGACAGTAGTACAATAAATTTGTATGGAATCTTGGGTACTGTGGAGGGAGGTAATGTACATCCCAGCATCCAAATAGCCCACTCTAAGAGAACTGTTGAGCACTCTTTACTGGAGCCCCAGAAGAGCAGGGTCACCTCACGGGGTGAGCCCATGAACCATCCCAGAGAATCTATCATTGTGTTTCCGTTTCACACAAAATATTCATTGTGTACATCTCCTAAAGAGCTAATTTTTCTGGTAAATACACATCTGCTATGTCAAATAAATGTCAGAGTTTTGCCTATATCAATGAACTCAGATATGACCAAGTCTGTTCCCTCTCTATTCTTGGGCCTTATTGTACAAGGAATCATAGGAGTACAGCCTGGGAAACAGGAATATGCCACTGATTGAACACACCAAATCTGATTGTCAATCATACAAGAAAATGAGAGCTCTCACTTAATATCAGCGTTTCTAAGACATTTCAAGATACCAGCAATCAAGATATTCAGACAATGTAGAGACAACAACGCCTCCCCAGCTCTGATCTTCCCTCCCTAGATAAACACTTCCACCCTGAATGACAGAGCAGGATAATAGGGTCAAACCTTAGAGCCAAGCAAGGAGCGTTTAAATTATGAATTATCTATCTCCTTTATGTCCCAGAGAGTTGTCTCTTGGATATTTCCTAAGGATCTTTGCTTTGTAGATCCTGGGCTACATTTACAAAAGGTCATCTTTAGCCAGAGCCATCCTAAATAACATTACTCCATTTACCCAGAGGTCCATTTGATTAGAGGATTAGACTGTCACCAGACTTACCTTTCCCCTGGAATTCACCTCCAGAAAAGGAGTGAAAGAATCACCAATCAGTTACTTTAATTCTTTCCTTGCCACTAAACAGTTGTGTGACCTTGGGCAAGTTAAAATCTCTGCAATGCTGGATTTTGTCATCTGTGATAATTCTTAAGTTTGTTTGGAAGTTTACAGTTGACAAAGCATTTTAACACCCATAAATTTGTCTTACACTAACACCTCATAGCTAATAAGATTCTCCTCTGACAAAATATTGTACCACCAATGTAGATCTCAAATGTATCTACTGCTTTCCTTCTGCCAGTACTTTCTTTCAAGTTCTTTTTGTTGCTTTCCTGGATTCCCACAGTAGCTTCCTAGCTGTCCTTTCATTTCTTCCATTGCCTCTACCTATACAGTAGCCCAAGAATTCTCACGAACTGCAAATCAGGTCACATCACTCCTGTTAAAACTTTCAGTGGTTTTTAAGTCTCTTCAGAAAACCATTACTATGGTCTACATGATCTTCCTCCTGCTCCAAAAATTTGGCTTACCTTGTTTGAGGTACTCAGGCCTGTGTTCTCAGAAACCTCTTTTTCACTCCCAGAGTCTTTGTATTACTGTTTCATCTACAAAAACACTTTCTCTTCCCTTTACCCTATTCTGTATTTATCTGCTTGATTGCTGCCCGTTTTATCACTCTGTCCAAATGCTTATCCTGACAATCCAATATAAACAAGGTCCCAAATCCTCTTCTCTCAATTTATTCTTTACTTTTTCTTAACTGCTCACATCACAATTTGTGTATTTCATTACGTGTCTCCACCAGAACATAGGCTTCTTAACAGCATTAACTCTGTTTTATCACTTGTCCCTAAAGCTTACCAAAGTATTTAGCAAATATCTTCCTGCTAAGGCTGAAAAAGATTAATCAGTTTGACCAGAGTTACAATATTAACATACCTTCCACAATTTCAAAACCCTCTAAAGTGATACAAGTTCAAGTTTAAAGGTGGAATCTTTTTGCTTGTTTTTATCCACCATCTTCTCTACCTCATTACCCTAGAGGTTCATGAGAGAAGGAAAATTGTATCTGTTCCAATTCCAGCAAGTGACAGCATATGTTTATTTTTGGCAAGGCAGTTCTATATAGCAATGGAAAGGATTCTAGACCCCAACTTTCAAGGTCCAAATTCCAATTCTGCATGTATGAGCTCTGTGACCTTCAACATGTCACTTAACCTCTTTATTTCTGTTTCCTCATGTTTAAAATCGAGAGGGTATTTAACAATGACTGCATCATAGTGTCATAATAAGAATTAAAGGAATAAATACACATAAAGCATTTAACACACTGTCTAGCAAATCAATAGTATTACATGTAAATATTGAATTATTCTGTTTCATTATTTTGAGAAATAAAACATGCAATTTTTATAAATTCAAAATATTCATAGGGTTATAGTCAAAAATGTCTTTCTCATTCAGCACCTGACAATTTTCTCCAGTTTCCCACTTATTCCCATATGAAATAATTCTTACTGATTTCTTGGGACTCCTTCAAGGGATGTTCAATGTTCAATAGCTCTGTGTGTGTGTGTGTGTGTGTGTGTGTGTGTACATGTGTTTACATGGTCTTACCCAAAGGCCACTAACATCTAACTTTCTGCAGGTTTGGTTTGAAAGATACACTTTTGTTTTCCTTTTTGAAGGGGAGGTTATATTTTATTTCTGTGTGATTACAACAAGTGAACTTAGCTGTCATGGAGTTGGGTCACCAGTGATTTTCCAAAACACCCAGCCCTTGTGGAATGGTGCTGCAATTAAATTGTTTGTTCCCACTGTAGCAAGATGTGCCTTCTAACTCCGGGCACCTGCTCTCAAGGTGAAACCTCTCCCTGAAAGACATGGAAGGCTCCTGTGGTATGAATCTAAGAGATGCTGAGCAGCATAATCAGTTCTGGACTTGAGTGATTAGAAAATATGGAAAACACTTCAATGCTTTAAAATTGCTGCATAACACACAGCCAAGAAAACAGACTGCTCTGGTATTTTTCCCCCCAAAAAAATTCACAATCATTTTCCATTCCAAGAACAGCCCAAAAAATAAAATTAAATTAACCCATGGTTCTCAGAAATAGTCCTCTCAGTTTTGGTTGCATCTAATCACTTTAATTCACATGTCCTCATGCCAAATTGCCACCTTTTAGCAATGCAGAGTGTGCAGTTACATCACCAAGTTGATGACACAAACATTGCAGTAGCTTCCTTTTTGCCCTAAAGGACATTGTTGATGTATCTGGCCATAGTCTTGCTGAATAGTACATTTGCACCATTGATATATGGTCAATGTTCATTGAAGGAAATATTCAACTTCACCCAAAAGCATCACTTAGAGCAGATGGTCTTCCTTTTGTCTAATCTTGGCCACTCAAGTGCTTTTGTCTTCCAAAATTTAGTAAGAGAGCCCTTGTCCAAATTCCTCATTAGTGTTTGGCTTAGCCTCTGAGCCTGAATCTGAAGATACAGCACTGTCTATGCTTCAGTTATTTGTTGATATGCAACAAAGCACCCCAAGCTTTAGTGGCTCCATCACCACATTTTTATTAGATATGATTTGATAGATCTGGAAAGGGACAGGGACCAGCTGGATTATTCCTCTGTCCCATGTAATACCAAGGAAAGTCATTTGGTGTTATGCAGCTGGTGGAAGGAGTTGGGGAGAAGATCTTAAACGGCCTCATCACATGCCTGGCACATTTGAATACACAGTTAGAAGGTCATGCTCCACCAGTTGCTCCAAATCTCTATGTTGTTACAAGACTTTTTCCTGTGGTCAAATCCTCTATCTGCTGGCCAACATTGCCAAGGACAAACCTCCTAGGAGGCCCAGTAAGAAATTATAAGGCATCAAGGCCTATCCTTGGAAGACCCCGGGTGTTACTTCTACATGCTATCAGTCAAGCAGTCACTAAGACCAACCCAGACCCAAGATGGGGATCATGAGACTCTACTTTTCCAGGAGAGGAATGACAAAGATCTAAGCTACCTTTAATCTAACCCTGCCATTTCAGGGACAAAGAGCCCTGAGTGCTTCATCTGTTTATTGTTCATTGGCATGTTCTGGGCAGAGCACACTGTTGCAATGCACAAAGCCAGTGAGCCTAATTAAGTAGATGTTCAGTTTAAACAAAGCTGAGCAGGGCCCTTCCAAGAAAAGAAAGAATCTGTCTAAGATCTGATCAATGGTGGAATAAAAAAAATTTGTGGGCCCAGTGCCGTGGCGCAAGTGGTTAAGGTCCTCGCCTTGCACACCCGGGATCCCATATGGGCGCCGGTTCTATCCCGGCAGCCCCGCTTCCCTTCCAGCTCCCTGCCTGTGGCCCGGGAAAGCAGTCGAGGACGGCCCAAAGCTTTGGGACCCTGCACCCGCGTGGGAGACCCGGAAGAGGCTTCGGATCGGCATAGCATCGGCCGTTGCGCTCACTTGGGGAGTGAATCATCGGACGGAAGATCTTACTCTCTGTCTCTCCTCTCTGTATATCCGCCTTTCCAATAAAAAAAATAATAATAATAAAAATAAATCTTTTTTAAAAATTGTGTATCATTTATAAATTATGATTTTTAAAAAAATAGTACCTTATATTCATTTAAACATTTTCCCTAAACAAGTCACTATATTTCCATATATGTGCACCAACCTATAACAAGAGCATTAGATGTAGCACGTTCAGAATGAGAAGCAGCTTCTGCTCATTTGTCTGAAAATGATATCCAAGTTA